TTGGACCCGTGATCCAGGATCCAGGCCTGCAGCGAGGACGGCGGGAGAAGGGTACCTCAGTGGCTGCTCCGATTCTGTCGGTGCTCCCTGGGCCCCACGGTCTCTCTCGAGTCCTGGCGTTTTCCTGGCAGGTGCAGAGCGGAAAACATATTTGGGGAAAAGGAAAAAAGGAAGTGGAGAGTAAGAGTGAAAGGAGAGGAAGGGAAAAGAGGAAGGGCTGGAAACAGAGAAAGGAGAGGCAGCGGGTGTAAAAAGCTGGAAACGTCCCTGAAGATTGATTCAGACCCGGAGCAAAACACGTAGACGTGCCTCAAGCTTTTCTTTTTAATCCGAAGTGAAAGCCCATCCAGTTAAAAGAGTGGCAGTGAATTATTTTGTTACCGATTGTAAATACGGTATTAGCGTTGGCAATGAAGTTTTGGAGGTAAAAGGGTGAATGACTGTACATATTTCTCTTGTAAATCGCTTCCGAACTGCCCAGTCAGGATTTGGGGGAAAAATGATTAACCTTCGTTCGTAAATGGGAAGTAAGTTTCTCAGTTACCACACAGGAAGACAACTATTTCTCAACTCCACATTGCTCTTCAAAGGAGAAGAATGGATTTGAAATCAGATAAAGTACAACTTTCCAAGGATCTCATTGTGGTCATTGGGAAGACGCCACCGAGCAGATGATTCAAGTGTAAAATAGTGTTATTGAGCACTCGACCGTTAGATCACCAAGTGGTCAGTCCTACCTAATAGTATTGAGAATTTCTGCAAAGAACCCAATATTAAAACATTTTTCTGTTCTCTGGGATTAGGTAATACTTGAAGTTCTGGAGTTTTTAACGTTAGAACTGATTTTGTCAACTGATACGGAGAGTCGAAGTAGGGGTTAGGATGATCAGGAGATGTTTGAACAAGTATATTGAGTATTACACTTTTGTGTTTCAAAACAAAAGCTTTTTTAAAAAACACAAAGTACAAAAATCTTACGCTGGACAAAATCATCTTGGGTAGAGGGGGTTCAGATGTCTGATTCCCAGCTGTGACATTTTCCTACTGGATAATCAGAATAGAGGTGTGGGTGTTTACCAAAAAAGTCCAACACTCTTGTAGTCCAATCCATACATTCCACGGGGGGAAAAAAGTCTCACTGCTTCTAGAACCTCTCTCAGTTCATTACTTATTGACTGCGGGACAAAGGTTACATCCCAGTTTGCCATTCTAAATGGGGCAAAAAGTCTATAGGCTGTTTGTCTGATCTTCCCTTTTCTCCTGCTGCTATTCCGAGCGCTTGCCAAGCTCAGCAATTTGCCTTACCTGCCATCACCTTTTTGCTGGTACAATTATTAACACAAATAAATGCCCTCTCTTTCCTTTCTATTCCCACCCTGCTCCCCACCTCCGTAGGAAATGAACCTTGAGCCACTTCAGTTCAAGTTTGTTGATTATTACCTGTCATTATACTAAATAGTCCTTGGTATTTGTGGCTGCTTGTTTTTATGTTTATTTGCTTTTTGAGAATTTGCCTTCCTTGCTGTCATTTCTTCCTGTCAAGCTTTCCTTCCTTTCTGCCCAGTTTCTAATACATTATGGGCTGGAAAAATTCATGAAACTGAGTCGGACTGCACGTAAAATTGGAGCAAATAGTCTCTGAGAAAGGCCATTAGTTGGTGGTGGTTTTTGTTCTCTTGTTTGTGAAAAAGGGAACTCTAAGTAAAGAGTAGGTTTGCTAATAATTGTTTTAGATTTTCAGGGATTTGTTTGTTGTTCCAGATGGGGAAACAGTCTAAACAGGAGAATTAAATTCTATGCAGGTGAAGTGTTACCCATATTGATGTTAAGATTGAAGGCCAAATGAGGTACACAGTAGGAAATTTTAAATCTGGAGTCTGTTCATACTTTTACTGTGAAGAAATTTATCAATAATAATTCATTAACATAAGTATCAACACAGTACATGGAAATGTTATTTAAACCTGCATTCTTTCTATGAAAGTGTTAAATTCAGACATAGCTGAAGAAATTCTAAAATATTGCTATTTTCTCCTGACACACTGGTGATGAAAAACTGTCAAATAATCTTGAGCATGGGAACAAAAAGATCTCTAGTAATTGTGCTTCTCTTTTGCAGATTAACAAGGAGGCCACAGAAGCTGCATAATAGACTTCTTCTTTTTGGCTATCTAGCCTCTGAACTCCCTTGCTTTGTTTGGAAAATTCCCCATCTTGTGAATGTTGGTGTAAGCAGAACCCCCTGTACAAGATGAAAAAAACGGCCTTCCTAGCAGCTAAGGTGTGGGCACTTGACCAGCGTTCAGCCTGTCAGGCTGTCAGGAGCCATCGATTGCCAGGAAATGGCACCACCGAGAGAGAATGCGTTCGGATGCCTGGTGGTGATATCAGCTGCCTGAGCAGCAAAATGGAATTTAGGGGCAGTTAAGTGCTGGCACTGGCCAGGTCTTCACCAGTTTGTTTTCAGCTGTGGTCCTGGCTGCTCCCGTGTACACATGTGTTTTCCAAGCATTACTCTGTGTTCTGTTTGGAAGTAAACTGCTCAAAGTCCTTTAAGTAAATTATTTTTCTGCTTAGATCAGAGCCTGTTTCTAATGTGCAACACTAACAGCCCTTGCCTAATACATGCTATGTTTAAAATCTCTTTTTAACCTCAATATAACCTCGTTAAAGACTAAAAGTAGTTTGTTGCCAGCAAGAGAACGGGGTATTAAAAAATAGCAGGAAATGAGACTTAGCAAAAATTCTATGATACTACATGATAGATGTCTTAGTCATCTAGTGCTACTCCAACAGAAATACCGCAAGTGGATGGCTTTAACAAAGAGAAGTTTATTCTCTGACAGTCCAGTAGGCCACAAGTCCAAATTCAGGGCATCAGCTCCAGGAGAAGGCTCTCTCTCTCTGTCGGCTCTGGGAGAAGGTCCTGGTGATGGATCAGTCTTCCTTTGGTCTGG